CACTGCAGCCAGGAGCTGGGTGCTCACTGCAGCCAGGAGCTGGGTGCTCACTGCAGCCAGGCATGGAGCTAAGTGGACATGGCGGCCTCAGGCCCATTACTGACCTTTCTTACCTGGCTTTCTTCATGGCTGTAGTGTCCGTCTCAGAATAAATCACTCAGAATAAATCTGCTAGGGATCAAACCTGGGTCCTCTGGAGGAACAATAAGGGCTCTTAACTGCCATCTCTCCGGCCTCCTCAGCTCTCATCTTTAAACAGGTATAGTAACAACTGTCTCCAGGGGTAGTAACAGCCACGAGAGGATCTGTTCAAGGTTCAGATGAGATGCTCTATTTGTCATGGCACTGTGTCTGATGCATGGAAATTAGGAGTGAATACCTTGCTGTCCCAGTAGATGGAAGACAGGGACATGAGAGAGGAAAGAATCAAAGTATCAGTTCCTTACTTTGAAAAATTTTGTCTTTAATCTAATTGGAATCCTCATTTTTTCCCTGTCTGGAATATTTATTTGTTTGATTGCTTATGTTTTTTAACACAGGGTTTCTTTGTATAGCTTTGACTGTCCTAGAATTCGCTCTGTAGACCAGGCTAGCCTTGAACTCACAGATATCCACTGAGATCAAAGGCTTGTGCCACCACCACCCAGCCTGTCTGAACTTTTTAATGGATTATTTAGACATACTTAAAAAAAGCAAAATTACACACACTAAAGGGTGATAATGATTTGCTATTCTATCAGAGATTTGTTTTTTAAAGAAGAAAACAGCTTATTCAGTGCACTCTGAAAAAAGCTGCTGGCATGCTTGCTCACCAGGGAGATTTACAAACTGCCACCGTCACTGCACTGAGGCTTAGGCCGTCTCCTTTTAAATGTCAGTGCTTTCCGAGAGGTTGCAAGGTGTCTCAAACCAACCCTTTCATTTTCTCCTAGTGTGCACATACCTTCTGTTTTTATAAACAGATCCACCAGTACCAGCTTTTGAAATAAAAACAGACGGAAGCAATGCTGGCTTTGTAATAAATTCAACCAGTGCCTTTTCAGTTGGTTCCAGGGTCCTCCCTACTTGACCCAATTGGTCCTGTTTAACATTCTTAAAGTGCATCAGTTTTCCGAGTGTATATACACATTTGTAATAGAGATTTTCTTGGGGGCAGCAGGGTTACC